GCGTTACGTTTTCGCGCCATTTCTTCGAGTTTTTCCGTCTAATTTTGGCACGCATGCGCGAATTGATGAGACTCAAACGCGGCGAACGTATGAATCCTTATTTCAGTTATCGTTGCGACGCGATCGAGAGAGGGTTGTATTGGAAGGTCCTTGAAAGGACGAGATCAATATAGAACATACGTTTTGTTTATCCAAATATTTTTATTTTTTATTTTTATATGCGACAAGGAAACAGCTCAGAATTTCAAAATGTAGAGAAAGAAGAAAATGTGCGGCGTTTAAAAGAAGAAAGAAGGTGAAGGATATTTTTCGAAAATCGTCTTTCTGTTTTTCATTTTTTCCAATAAAAATGATGACGTGCTGCGAGGTAAGAAACGTTTATTAAACTTGTTATTGTTGTAATTGGATTTTTATTGTTGTTCTTTTTTTTTCAATAGAAAAGGCCTACAAATTTTCTTTATACGTGTTGATGAAAATATGTCATAACATTTTACGAAGGATACTCTTTATATTTATATAGATTTATTTATTTATTTATTACTTTTATTCAATATAATGCATATTAAATATAAATAAGTAATACAATAAATGTATCAGAGTAGTAAAATCAACTAATCGGTTAATCAAGATGTCTCCGATGCATTTAAACGTTAGATAACGTGGCAATTTTTTAAACATGGTTGGAATTCGAATCTGAAATAACGAGAAAGAGATTCCGAATCTTTTCTAGCACGAATCGTTAAATGCCGAATAAAGAATGCGAATAAAGATTATCTCTTTTAAAAGAAGAAGAAAAAAAAGAAATTATTGCGTATTCATCGATGACCCTTTGAACATGATGATTCTTGAAATAGGTAATCTAACAAATATAATACAAATAGTTTCGAGGTAACAGATTTTTAAATTTATTTAGATCTCTTCAACAATTTCATTTAATAGATGACAATTATTGTTACAACATTTAGTTAAAAAAAAGAAAAAAAAATAGAAAATAGAAAATAAAAATAGAAAATTATAAGAACAAATCATCTTGTTTTTTTCAATATATTTTACTAAACATAAATTTTTATATATAATACATTATCATGAAGGAAAAAATGATTATTATTACATTTTAATCATTTCATATAGTTAGATGGTAATTATTGTTGAACGAGGTTTTTTTAAAAAAATAGAAAATTATAAAAGAAGATTCATCTCTAGTTTTTTTTCAAAATGTTATTAAAGACAACTTTTTACATGCCTTAATGAAAAAAATGATTATAAGAAAAATTATTATTACGTGGTTATATTAAGTCTATCAAATGTAGTATTGCTCATTTCAAACGCTCAATTATTTCTGAAAAAACTTCTTTAAAAATTAAAAAAAATCATTTTCAAATAGAAAAAAAGGAATTATTGAATAAAATAAATTTTTTGAATAATAAAAAAATAAATTTATCAAATAAAATAAATTTTTTAAGTAGTAAAAAGCAATGTATTGAATAAAAAAATTTTTTATATAATAAAAAGAAATATATTGAATAAAATAAATTTTTTAAATAAAAAGAAATTGTTAATTAAATAGATAAAACTTTTCGAACCTAATAATGATTACTATAATGAAACGATCGGTAAAAAAAGGAACAAGTATATGGAATATTTGTTCCCTTTTTCTCTTTCTTCTTTTGTACTTCCGTTCTCTTGATCATTCTCATATTCAACGCGTTGTTCGAGATCCTTTCGCGAGGGTAAGGAAAAATTATGCCGACTCCGTGTTGAAGTTAAATGAAAAATGTTTAGCGTACTCGACGCGAGTTGAATAATCGATTGTTCCTGTTCGTCTCGAGTCGTGGTTACCTACGCAGCTACGACGGCTGGATTCTCACGTTTCGTATTAATATCTTATCGTGTGTCAGGAAACCGAGTGGACGGTTTCTATGACACATATAACGTCGACTTCTCGTCTCATTTGAAATTCATTCCTCGGCTTAGCGAGTCGCGAAACGCGGAAGTCTCGTTTTTGGTGAACTAATTCGATCCAATGTATGATATTGTTCGAATATTATCGATAATTTCAAAGAAGTACGTTTTTATAAGGGATTTAAAATAATCGTTTATTCTTGTTAACAGCAAAAGTTCAAAATTTTAATTTTCAAATCTTTTTCATTTCAATTATTATCACTTTCGAATTCCAGTGAACTTTCTGTTTTCGTTTTGATCTATATATATATATATATATATATATATATATATATATATATAAAAGAGATATATATATATAAATAAAAGAAAGAGTATATATATTAGTATATATATATATATATATATATATATATATATCTCTTTCTCTCTCAAATTTTACAATATTTATATACAGTGTGACCCAGATTAAAACGATCAAACTTCACCAGTATTTTCTATGAGTAGAAATAAGAAAAAAATTTTATATAAACATAGATCCGTAAACGCTTTATTATCAGGTTGTACATGACTTTGAAAAAAAAAGTTGATTTATGTT